TACGTGGTGTTGAAGAAGATGGAGCTCTGCAGCTCGATTGTGGTTGGGGTGGGCCCGTGCTTACGCGAACAAACTTCTGATAGGTGACTGTATATTTGATCCATCACTACTGTTTTCTAAAAACGATCTGAACGTGTTCTGGCTATATTGAGCTGGGTGAGGTTAGCGTACTACCTTGTATTGGTTTCACCGAGCCGCTCATGATACCGGACTAAAATCTCATAGTACCAAGTACGCTGATCTGTTTCTTGTGCTGCTACGAGTCTGGCCGTTACTGTAGCCGTTGGTCTGAACCCCAAACACGGCGCAACGGCGCAACTTCGTTCAAATTCGGCCCTTCTTTAACTCTGCCTTGGGTATCCAGTTCGTTACACCAGGCTAAATTCCAAACTCGAGACGTGAGCTGCGAGTTCGCGGGCATCGAGTAGATAGGCAGAAACCAACTACAGTTTGTAGGGTTTCAAGGAAAAGGGACATGCAGCAAGATGGTGTGTTTTGCACACATGAAACCAAAAAGATTCGCCGGTTGCACAAAGTGCAGATCCAAAAGATTACTTTCATTATTAGTAATGCACTGAGCGCATTCAATCAATTCTGTTACTATCCCCTGGAGACTATGTGCCCAGTGATATCTTCATCAATTGAGAGAGTTAACTATGGAAGATCTGGAGCAGATGTTCCAAAACCGGCTTGTAAGATTCGCCACTCGAAAGACGTGCTTTGTGACAACTGCTTTTCCAAGCTAATTTTATTGACGCCTACCTCATAGGAATATCGTGTGACAAACCCAGGTAATGGGAACGGGTACATGTGCCTCTCTGAGTATGGGTTAACATGCGATGGCACTCAATAGTTTCCGGGGTACAATATATTGCTTGTTCTCTAAGTAAAACTAGGAAGCGTTCCTTACGGAAAGGTGTTCTTGGGGTTGCATGAAGAAAAACACATTTGGACTTGGTCACAACAATAGTCCTTTAGAGTGGACTGATAGGTTGCTAGACATCTTAAGGTCAACAACGTCAAGACAGCTTTCTTCATCTTAGCCACTGGCATGTACGCTGACTTGGTATACCGTGTCACTGCTGCGAAGGCTGCAATCATCATAAGAATATACAATGAAGTGCATCAAATCGCCGGGTATACTTGGAGCCACCAATATTCGGACATGATCTCGCATTGGCAACGCAGAGACGAAACGGCACAAGATCGAGATTGCTCTTAACGGTATCATCGGAGGTTTTTCCACGTACATACATGCGAACACCGTTCGGGAAGTGTGGGCCCAAATGTCGGCCCGCATGATAGAGCTAGTGCTAGGGTACCGCGTGGTAATTTCACCCGACCTTCCGGGGGACTGAAGTAGCCGGATCAAAATGTCGCCCAAAATCAATCAAAATCACAGCCTCAATTATCATATAGGCGCTGTCCATTCTGTTGAAAATTAAGAGTTCTTGTAGAGTAGAGCATTGTTTATCCACGTGAATTAAATATGTAGAAAGTACCTAGTATTACCTTTGTTTTATAGTTGCATCGTTTTTATCCGGCTATTTCAGTTCCCCGAGAGCCGGCAATGACGTACGCTAGAAGGTATTGAGATACGAGCTAAGAGTTCTGTCCAAGACTTCAAATGAAGTCAACACGTGAGGTTGGGAAAGAAAGTAAATGTACTTGAAACACCATTTCTTGGAAAGCATCAAGAAGAAGAACAAGTACCGAGTCAAAGCCTAGCTGAGTCTAGCGCGTGATACTCATGAGCGCATAATGCACGACTATACGCCATTCATGACTGATGATGCACGAGAGCATGGATACCACTAGGTATGGTGGGCCAATTTCTAGACGATTCGGAAGGAAACTAGTACCAGGATCCTTTGACATGAGGACCGCTTCGTAAGCCACCTGGTCAAGAGTCATTGTAGTGTTTGCGTGTACGCATTGCGTATCCGGATTGGTCGTGTAAATAGTAGCTCTTTGCAGACTAGCGACGCTAAATTCATCAACAAAATTGATTAACCCACATAAGAAGACGACTGGAAAGAGAAGAATATGGCGTGATGGAGTTCTTTCGGCCTTGTTGATGGAGCAAGAGAAGGTGGCTTGTACGTGTTGACTATGTCCATGGTTATGTCCATGTGGCAGGGGAATTGACAACAGTCACATTAGCTTGGCGCAAGATGGGGGCTGGCGGAGTTATGCCCGGACCAACAAGTCGACGTTCCCCTAACGCCTTTGACCATCCCAACTGCCACTAGCGCGTGCAGGTGCTTAGTGAGCCAGCCTGCTGATCAAGCACCGCATTACTTCTTTTTCTTCCTGTGCCAACCAGATTGCGTGCTGTTTTGCTTAGCAATATGCATGTGATTTTCACCTTGACTTTCCACTTTGATTCTGCAGTGGATACGTCATGGACGAATCCCCTCCCTCATCTGCTAGTCTATGGCTGCCTTGCCTAGGGGTTTGGTGCGGTGATTAGAATGTCGCATGCGCTTTGTAAGATGCCGCATTACGAAACCTTGGCACAATGGATTTACCAAGCAAGTCCGTAGAGCTTTGTGTGGCACGAAGAAGAGCTGTGTGGAATACAAGATAAATGTAGTCCATTGTCGCTCAATTGTAGTTGCATCAAACCAATACAAACATCATCAGCCAGTTTACCACAAGAACATCCTTCTTCCCAGACTCGCCCTTCGTATTTTACATAAGAGTACCCCAGCCAATCAAAGCCCCAAGCCACTTTCGCAAAATGGTATCGGCCCTCATTCGGGACGCCCCGATTGGGCAGATCCTCAGATACCTTACCAACAACCGCCTACTCCAGTATCCGGAGGAACGCCCAGACTTTGTCATACCCACAGCCTACACCCAGCACACACGCCCCTTGCCAAAGCGTCTAAGCTCAGAATTCTCTCATGACCCACAGATTGAGAAAGAGGGCCCTGCAACTGAAGAAGTGTGTAACGAACCCCCCGTAGAAGCATCAGCGGAAAGGCGAGAGTCAGAGAGCGAAGATGAATCCGCCACCGACTTGGAAAAGGTGCAAACCGCACGAACACAACACACTGCACGAACACAGATTTCCCGTGTAGGAACACGAACAGCCCTGCACAAGTCAACTACGCAAGCCGATCTCGAACAGCAATTCTCATTGGCAACCGTAGAGCGCGGGCCCAGCCGTCCAATCGAGCCCGAGAAACTCGATGATGGTACCATACTGGTAGACTGGTACGACACTGACGACGAGTCCAACCCGCAAAACTGGTCGTTTGGCAAGAAGGCCGTCGTCCTCAGCCTGATTCTCATGTACACCATGGGCGTGTACATGGGCAGTGCAATCTACAGCCCCAGTATACCCGGTGTCATGGCACGATTCGGCGTTCAAATCGGAGCCGCCTCCCTTGGCCTGTCAATGTATGTGTTGGCATATGGTATCGGACCACTCCTGTTCTCGCCATTGAGTGAGATCCCAGTCATCGGTCGAAACCCACCATACATCATCTCCTATGCCATCTTCGTCATTCTCCTCGTCCCAACCGCACTGGTTGACAACTTCGCCGGACTCATCGTTCTCCGCTTCCTCCAAGGCTTCTTCGGAAGTCCCTGTCTTGCTACTGGCGGAGCCACCCTCCAAGACATCTACAGCCTGATCAAGCTCCCCTATGTGCTCTCTCTCTGGGCCTTCGCCGCAACCTGCGGCCCAGCCCTCGGCCCCATCATCAGCGGATTCAGTGTCGCAGCCGAGAACTGGCGCTGGTCCCTCTGGGAGATGCTCTGGATGAACGGACCCATCTTCCTAGCTCTCTTCTTCTTCCTCCCAGAGACCTCCTCGGCAACCATTCTCCTCCGCCGCGCCCAGCGCCTCCGCCTCCTGACCGGCAACGACAAGCTAAAAAGCCAATCCGAAATCGACCAGGCAAACCTCACACCCCGCGCCATTGCCACCGAAGCTCTCTGGCGCCCCTTTGAACTCATGCTGCTAGACCCTAGCATCGCCTTCACCGCCGTCTACACTGCCATTGTATACGGAATCTTCTACTCCTTCTTCGAAGCCTTCCCCCTCGTCTACAACGAAATGTACCACTTCAACCTCGGCGAGCTGGGCCTGACCTTCCTGTCCGTCACCGTCGGCGTCATCATCAGTATAACATGGTACTGGTGGTACATCTACTACCGCGTCGAGCCCAGCATCCGGCTCCACGGTCTCGGTAGCCCAGAGCGCCGCCTCATCCCCGCCCTGTTCGTTACCTTTCTCGTACCGATTGGTCTCTTCATCTTCGGATGGACGAGTAACCCGGATATCCACTGGATCGTGTCGTGTATCGGTATCGTCATCACGACCATCGGTATCTTCCTGATTATCCAGTGTATCTTCCTCTACTTGCCGCTTGTGTACCCTCAGTACGCGGCTAGTCTATTTGCTGGCAACGATTTCCTCAGAAGTGCCCTGGCAACCGCCGCCATTCATTTCTCCTACCCGCTTTTCCACAATTTGGGCGTCGACCGCGGTGTGTCGTTGCTTGCGGGCTTGTCCGCAGGATGTAGTGTTGGTGTCTATGTGTTGTATTTCTTTGGAGCTAAGTTGAGGGCTAAGAGTAGGTTTGCTGCAAAGTAAACCCTGTACTGCCATGATGTATATGCAAGAATGTTTTGGATTTTTTTGGTGCATTAAAGTAAGGCGTTTGGGAAAGGATAACGTATAGACGATAACGATAATATGAATACCTCTTAATAATCATGTTGCAGCCCATACCTTCAGTGCCATGCTCAATGTTTTTCGACAAATGCACGGAAAGAAGTAAAGTAACAATGTGATCAGAGCGAAAAGACTGACCTTTTTCGAAAAAAATTCTTTGACTGGGTATCGTATTTCGTTAACCATTGAGTCGTATTATCGCATGGCTAGCTTGCGTATTCAGGTGATTTCCCGTCACCCGTTTATCTACTAGGATATACCTGTCTGATGGGCTTCGATTCCCACAGAGCTCACTCTTGACCCCAGGTATCGTCATCACCAACATGTCCCACAATCTCCACACCCTGCTCCTCCTGAAATGCCACTTGCTTATTCTTCCCCCTCTTCTTCTTTCCCTTGCCATTTTCCTTGTTCGCAGCCCCATCACCCAAGGGATTTCCGTCTTCGTCAATACCAGCTAGCTCTCGTTGACGTTTCCTTTCCTGGGCCTCTGCGTGGGCGGCTGCGATTCGTTCCTTAAACTCTGCTTCCTTAGCAGCCATCTGGCGCTTGATCTCATCTGCGTCAGCAAACGACTCTTCTGTCTTGTTTGATTTCTCAAGGAAGACACCCCAGCCACCATTAGTGAGTTCGCTACGACCTTGCAACGCTTCCTTGACGCCTTGAGGGTTCTCGCGCTCTTCACGAGTGAACTTTGTTTTGATGGAGCGCCGGGTAAAGCCTGGAAACATTTGAGATATCATTTGGAAATCTGTGCCGAAAGATCGCAGGCCCTGATAGAAGAGTTCGGTAAGTTCGCTATTCCAACGACGTCCTTGGCCTGGTAGGAGAAACTCGTTGGGGAAACGTTTGTTGTTCTTCATGAAGCTACGGGTCGTTAGGCGAGCAGTGATGTCTTGGTCTTCAGTAACGATCATTGCGTCCAGCTCCCTTTCCGCGTCACCTCCTCGATCAATTGTTCCAGAGTCGGGAACCAGCTCCAAGATACCATCTGCGTTCAGTCGTAGTTGAGGTCTTCGTTCGGCTTGTGCAGCGATTTCTGCACCTGCCTCGGCTAGAGCCCTGTCTGCTGCTTCCTGTTCTGCTTTAGAGACTATGATCTTCGAGTCTTCCTCCCTCCGACGCCGTTTGACCGCCTCCCAGTCTATGGTACGCATTTCCTTCTCTCGGGCAGACAGCTTTCCCCAGCGGACTGTACGGGCAGCGAGAGAGTCCATGTAAGTAACATCGGGGTCGATGACTTGATTTTCTGCATCTGATGGGGTATTCTCCCGTGGTGGCCGTCCCTTGCGCTTCTTTTCCTGCGTCGTGCCAGCATCGCCCTCAACCCCATCAATTTCCTCGCCCTCGGTAATGGCTCTCTTTCGTCTTCTTGCCTTGGGCTTGCGCTGTACAGCGGCAGCTACAATCTCGTCGGCGATGCGTCCGACCTCGCTCTCAGGCCCCTCGACAACCTCGCTGCTCAGAGCGGCCCTGTTCTTTTTGGGTTTCCTCGTTTTCTTCGGCACAGCTGGTGTATCTTGGCTGTCTTGAGCAGTGGCGGGCTCGGTAGCGTTTTTCCTTGCACGTGATTTGGGGAGCTGGCGAGAAATTTGGGTAGGTGCAGCAGCAGCCGCTGCTTGCCCATCGCTTCCGGCAGGGTCGTTTACCGCTACCCAAGGTGGATTCCTCCTCTTTCGTGGTTGCGGAAGCACCTGTGAGTCACTGGGGTGTTGCGCAGTGTCGGCGCTTGGTGACTGTGCCCCATCCTGCACTCCTGCTGCATCTGGCTGCTGGTGTGGGCTTGCTTCGTCTGTGTATTGCGGTGGTCCTGCGGAGTGTTCTATGCGCCGTCTCTTGGGCGATCTGCCGGATTGGATGTCGTCCTCGAGGTACTGGGTAGTCAGGCCCTGGGCCGGTGGGTGTTCCGCAGCCAGATGCGACTCCCCCTCTACTTGCGACTGGACGTGTACATTGGTCGGCGCAGGGTCTGGTGGAGCATCGCTAGGCGTAGGATCGACTATCACTGCGAGGTCTTGTGTCGCGGCTGGGGTAGGCAATTGGGCAGGAGTGGATGGTGCGACGGCGGGTGCATTGGAGGACTGGGGCTCTACCTGCGGTTCTGCAGTGGATGCTGGTGTTTCTGGCGCAGGCGTAGATGATGGCACCGGTGTCGAGCCAGGCACAGAGTCAGCGACTGGCCGTCGTCGCGCAGCTTTGGGCGCAAACTTTTTGCCCGTCGTATTCTCTAGTCATGACTTAGCCCAGTCGGTGCCTTGGGGTGACATGGGACGACGCACTGTTGATGAAGGAACTAAATGTTGCCGCGGCCTTGGGAGCCGGCGCCTTGTCACTGCCCGTAGCCGCAGCCGACGGCGGGCTGGGGCCTTGGTCTGCAGACATGGTGGTGTTGGGGCACGCTGGCTGATATCAAGTCCCTCGTCACATTGAGGAGAGAGATGGAGAGAGAGAAACAGAGGGCGTGGCGGCGCGCGCCCCCGACACAGACCACACCTGCGTGGGCTAGCGCGACACTAGCCACCCGCTTGGCACCCAAGCAACTCTCTTCGCTCGACGCCCACCGTCTCCTCGCTCACCACCTGCTGCGACGGCCTCACACGACATTCCCCCCCCCCAACCTCCCCCTTCCGCTGCCATCACGACGCTCGCCAGCCGCCCGCTTGCATCTCGGCCGCTCGCTCGCTGCTCCCTTCATGGTCTGATCGCGTGCGCGTCTCGCTGCCCCTTCAGACACAGTCGGCGTCTCCTCGATGAGGCTCGAAGCCAGGACCGTCGCACCCCCATCGCTTGACGCTGTCAAGATGGAGGACCGCAAGCGGCCCATCACTGACGACGCTGCTCCTCCTGCAAAGAGGCAGGCCGTGGCGGTCAACGGGGCCCGCTCTCACCCCGACGCTGACCTGCCCTGGAAAGATGATCTTGAGGTTCGCCCCCCTCCCCCGATCACCGCCCGTCTTCGCTACCGGCCCCGGCGCACGCCCCTGCTGACACTGCAACATGACAGGCTTTCCAGAAGGATGCTATTCTCCGCCAGATGCGCGAGTTCAAACGCGAAAAGGCTACCGTCGAGTCACAACTGAGCGAGTTGGAGAGCCGTTCGAAGCACCACGACGCCCATCTGCGAACAATCGATGCATGGTTTGATCAGGTCAGTATACCCTCGGGTTTTGATTGAGGTGACGCTAATGCCTTCTTAGCTTATCGATGAAATCAAACTCCGGGGGGCTGACGAGCTGCCTGCATCATCGTCCGCTTCTGAGTCTACTCCTTCAGTCCCTGCCGCCCTTCTTGGCGACAACAATGAGGCCTTTAAGCAACACTTGTCCAAGCGCAGGGAAAAGATTCTCTCCTCACTCTCCTCTCTTTTTGCCAAGTTTCCTGCAGCCAGCCCGGAGGTCGCTCAACTTCAGAAAAAGCTGTCAGAACTTCTAGCTAGCGAAAAGGATCATGTCATTCGACTCCAGCAGGTTGCGACAGAAAAGGAGCAATTGTCGGACCGACTGGATACCGCTACTCACCGCTATCTTGTTGCTGAAAAGAAACTTGATCGATTGAAAAGTGCTCAGGTTCAGAAGCTTGAGCAACAAGCAGTTGGGACCAGCACTGTAGCAAAGGAAGAGCCCCCTTCAGCTAGCAACGGAACAGATGCAGCCAACGGCGCCTCACCAGGACCAATCAGTGAGGAGCTGGAGACTGCAAAAAACCAAGCTTTGGCTGAGGCGGCTAAGAGGAAAGAGCATCTAGAACAGATGGAGCAGGAGAACAAGAAACTCACAGAAGAGATTACGACATTGAAAGTCAAACTTACCGGGCTCTCTGATGATGATTATGCAAAGACAGATCTTTTCAAGGCGATTAAAAGTCAGCATGAAGACGTCATTAAACGCATCAACAACCTGGAAGCCCAAAACATTTCCTTGCGCGAGGAAGCGCAAAAGAGTCAGGCTGAGCGAACAGCATACCGGATCAAAGTGGACGAGGAAGTGCGTACAACCCTGGCGGAACACGCAAGCCATGTTTCACAAGCAGAAGCAAACTGTGCCCGTATCCGAAACGCTCGCGACGAGCTTGTAAGTAAGAATAACGTTCTGGAGGCCAGCCATAAGGATTCCAAGGAGTCTATCGAGCAATCGAAACAACTCGTGAGTGCTTGTGACAGCCGGATTGCGGCGCTCGAGTCAGAATGCGAGCGACTGCGACTGCAAATTGCCGAACAGCAAGCATCCATGGGACAGCAATCCATGGAGCTGGACGACTTGACTCCGGAGCAACTGCGGGCCAAGGTTTTGAAGCTTGAGAGTCAAGCTCAAATCTTGAGTAACGAGCTACCGGCCATGGAAGCAGCATGGAAGAAGGCGCAAGCAATTGCAAGCAAGAAAATTGCCGAGATTGCGACATGGGAAGAGAATATTGCCAAGGCACACGCAGACAAGGCCAAGGCGGATCAAAAGTTTTTCGCCGCAATGAAGACCAAAGGCGAGTTGGAACAGCAAATTCGAATCCTCCGCGCCCAGTCGACCAAAGCCACGGAAGTTGTGGCACAGTTGAAAGAGGCAGATTCGCTCAGTCGATCGCTGGTAGACAAACTGGAGAAGCAAACAGCAGAAATGCGATCGCAGATCGACGAGCTTTCTATTCAGCACCGCCAGCTGCAACAAAAAGTCAGCGAGAACGCCATTACGTCCGAGGGCCAGGTCAGCCAAATCGCCGAGCTCAAGAAGCTTGTCGAAACCAAGGACGCAACGTGCCTGGCGGCAAAGCACGCGCAACGGGAATCGGAAACGGAGCGAGACAAGCTGGCAGCGCAAGTTGCTGGACTGGAGAAGCAGGTGCAAATCTACAAGAAGAAGAGCACGGCCAACCAGAGTTCAGAAGTGTCGACGATGGAGCTGCTGATCCAGTGTCAGATTTGCAAGAGCAAGCTCAAGAACACGGTCATCAAAACGTGCGGGCACATGTTCTGCGACCAGTGCGTGCAAGACCGGCTCACGAACCGAGCGCGCAAGTGCCCCAACTGTGGCAAGGCGTTTGGCAGCAACGACACGATGCGCGTGCATTTGTAATATCTACTACGACTTCCGTCTGGCTTCCCTTTTTCATGTACCCGGTGCGTCCTGTATATTAGCTGCATTTCTTTGGGTACCCTTTTTTTGTTACCATTTTACAAGAGCGTGGAGGGCAAGTTTTGAGGCCAAGCACCAGGGGGTGCCTTGGATACGTTGGCGTTTTACGGGTGGCCATGGGCCGCATTCCATACATAGCGTTGGTGTTTTGGCAGCGGGGAGCATGTACGATCAGAGTTGTGTGCATGTTCAGACGACATGAGTTCGCATGTTTTACTAGATGGCCTGAGGGTACTTTCTCGGTCTCAGCAATGTTTCAATGGGCGTGGGCTAGATAAACATGATAGGTTGTATGCAAGTTGGGGGAGTGATGGGAGGAAGAGAATGCCAAAGCAATTAGTATGGATTGTCTGTGCCAAACAAAGGCGAGTGGATCAACGGTGACTCACCCAACCCTGACAGGGCCCGCGGGTGGAGAGACAGGCAGTGACAGCCAACCAGGTGAGGCGTCATGGCCCAAACCGGGCAGAGATCCCAGGGTGGAAGGAGGCAACCACGCCCGGGTAATGACGTGAAGGACGCGTTCCCTGCCGTTGCCCCACGCGACATGTCCAATATAAACACGTGCAAAGTCGACGACTATTACCACCACAACCCGACGCAGCCAAAGCATAAAGGAATCGCTTTGCCTCGACTTGACACCGACTACATCTAGCTTTTCACACCACCAGAGACAGAAAAAAGCAAAAATAAAGCGACATACATCTTGCATCACCACCACCAAATCCATCTTACCTCAATGGCTCCCAACGTCCTCGCAGCGCGCGACACAAACACAAAGGTCAAGGCCATGGATTCGCCAGAGAAGACCAAGATTAAGAGTCTTGAGTATCATCGTCAGGTTCTACACTCGCGTCTCGATGACAAGCAGTACGTTGGGCCAGGCATGCACCTAATACGATAGCGTCACACTAACGTCAAGATAGGGAGTCAAAGTATGTCTCGCCATCCGACGACATCATGAGCCCGGCCACGCAGAAGCTGCAGGCCTTCAAGACCAAACACGCCATGAAGAAGTAAGTCATGTCGTCCGCTTTCATGCGCCTAAGGTTACATGAGCATGTGAGTTAACCAAGCTACAGATCAAAGCCACAGACGCTGTTCAAGAAGGCGAGCTCTAAGAGTCTCGAGGCCAACAAAGGCAGCGGCTCGCTCATGTTTGCCGATATCCCAAAGGTTGATGCGGGCAAGCAAGACGCAGAGGCCTAGAGCCGACATTGCTATTCTCTCTCGGGCGCTTGGGTTGTGGGTTTCTAAAGGTGGTTTCACGTGTGGTATACCCTTTTCTTTCATGAACATAGTGCCGGTTTGTTTGGGCTGGTTCGGGGCTAGGCTAGGTCTCATGATACAATGGGCTTCATTGGAGTTTTGGGCACCCTGGTAGGGTAGTATTACGAATATGACGACTTTGCAGCTGTAGATGCTACGACATCAATGAACATTTTTCGAGCTTAGTCTACTTTGTGCTCATGTAAAGCGTATGCATGCACCAGAATGGATCCCTGGCTATGTTCGGTAATGTCGCCAAGCCACGCGTTGTAGCCTTTCGCTAGCCGCATCCTCTTCCGACCTCCAAGATGAAACCACCAACCCAAGACCAGCAAGCCCTGCTGGACGAGGTAGCAGACCTCGAAAGACGACTACAAGATGCAAAGGCCCGGCTGAACCCAGGTGCCGTAGTTGCAACTCCCCCTTTCTCGCCACTTCCCAATGCCGGCCCATCCCCGCCTGTACCCTCCTTCTCCCCCGCCGAACAAGACGCTGCCCTGCATGCCCTCCTCTTGCTCGCCGACTCGGCCCTGCCACTAGGGTCTTTTGCTTTTAGCAGCGGCTTAGAGTCGTATCTCGCGCACCATAAGCCAGCGACGCCCTCGGCGTCACAGCTGCCGGCCTTTAACACGTTCCTCCGCCTCTCGCTATCAACGCTCGCCAGCACGTCACTCCCATACGTATTTGCCGGGTATCGCGACTCAAAAGAGATTGAAACTCTGGATAATGACTTTGATGCGAGCACACCGTGTACTGTGGCACGACGGGCTAGCATAGCACAGGGCCGGGCGCTGCTTGCTGTTTGGGATCGAAGCTTCCGAGCGCAGTACAATAGCACCGAGCAACACACGCGTGAGCACAGCTTGAATGGCGTAGCAGGCAAGAATATAGCTGTCGAAGCGCTTGCATCCTTTTCTGTCGCCCTCCGCACGTCGGAGCACATAAACGCCCACCTTGCCCCGCTATGGGGCCTCATCACCCGCATTCTGCATGTTCCACTGCAGCAAGCTGCCTATCTGTTTCTGTTTTCCCATGCGAGGACAGTGGTCAGCGCTGCTGTGAGAGCTAGTGTCATGGGCCCTTATCAGGCGCAAGCGGTGCTGGCGAGTGCAGAGCTGCAAGAGAGGATTCGCGGGCTGGTTGACGAAGGCTGGGATAAGACAGTCGAGGATGCAGGCCAGAGTGTGCCAGTCATGGACCTTTGGGTTGGTAGACACGAGAAATTATATTCGAGAATCTTTAATTCATGATCAAGAGACGATTCCACATCGTAGACAAACGAGCAACCTGAGCGGCCTTGACAGCACGTGCATATTCGAGGGATTTCTCATCTTGTGGCGGAAAATACACGCCATGTAACTGCAGCCACAGCAGAGGGATTCAGTATTATCTAAACATGGACTTTTGGTGAGTGTCTGGTCGTGGACGATTTCAGCCAGTAGCCGTGCTACAACGACCTCGTGCTTGGTCGATTCGCGCAAACAGCCATTTTGCTTATACCGCGTGACCGCTCGCTGAACCACACGTGCAATACAGCATCTGACATGGCCAGAAACTGACACTGCTTCTTTGCTATAGGATATTTTGTCAAACCATGGATGCCTGGGAGTGCCATGAGTGTTGCGACTACACCATCTCAGACCCATCACCATGCTATCCTCAAGTGTAACCAAATGGATCTCAAGTGTCCTCACCCTGACTAGTCCATCTAACAATGTCAACCAAACTCCCCTTGTTTCTCCCACCGTCAAGTTCCCATGGATCCAAAGTTTTGCTTCAATAGGCGACTCGTACTCTGCTGGTCTTGGTTCCGGACATCGCCTTGACTGGCTCTGCTCCCGCTACACACACTCTTATCCCAACATACTACACATATCTCTCCTTGGTACGAATCCAAACCGAAATCATACATTCCTTGCCTGTTCTGGCGCCACTAGCACCGAAATCCTCGCTACCCAGGTGCCAGCGCTGCCCTCGAACCTCGACCTACTCACCATATCAGCGGGCGGCAACGATGTTGGTCTCACCGGCATCCTAAGCGCATGCATCTACCAATTCTATATGGCCGCCGAGGACGCTTGTGCAGAGGCTATTGATCAAGCACGCGCTCGCATCGCCAACGAGACAGAATTATACCACAACACGAGTCTCCTGGTCGATGCAGCAAAGCAAAAGATGAACCCGCAGCACGGCAGCATATACTACACAGGATATGCGACATTCTTCGGCGCAGACGACGAAGCATGCGACAACGTGACGTGGGCCATATGGAAAGATGTCGAATGGGAGAAGCAATACCTCACCCGCGACCTCCGCGGCAAACTCAACGACATGGTCCGCAGCGTCAACAGCATTTTAGCACAAGCAGTCGAAGACGCCGGATCGGGCGTCCACTTCATCGACTACGATGCAGAAATCCGCCAGTTACGCGGTCGCTACTGCGAGACCGGCGTTGTCGAGCCCGCGCCGAATCGCGCTGGACTGGCCTTTTACGAGTGGGCGACTGTGGACCAGGGCGAGAATAGCACGGCGTTGTTGAATCAGACGGGGGATGCGGTGCCGAGGTTTTCGTTCCAGGGTAAGATTGCGAGCGAGGTGGAGAAGACGGTGGAATTGCATCCCGATTGGGAGATTGAGCATGGCATGGGGTTTGTGGATAAGGAAAAGGAAAAAAAGGGTACCGGTGGTGGTGTTGGGGGAGAAGGATGGTTGGGGGATGAGGTTCACTGGTTGTTACCGGATAGCTATAAGAGGGTTTTTCATCTCAGGCCCATGGGACATGAGGTTATTGCACGGATGGTGGTGAAGGATTTGAAAAAGAGGAGTGTAGGGCAGGGGCCAGAAGTTGAGGAGCTGTGATTTATGCATGTAATTCATGAGAGAAGTGGTGAAGACAGTTGCTATTTAAGAGATTGTTGATATATACACTGCCCTGTGTGACTAAAAGAAAATTCATGTGTGAATCTATGTATGCATGGTTGAAGCTGTTTGGTCCCGAGTTTGGAAGGAAGAAACCACTGCCTTCCTCTCAAGCCCCTTTTACCATCAAAATTCCACACCAACTTCCCAAGATCAACGGCATCAAGATATCATCACATATCCCTAGCCGTGCGTTTAAGAAGAGAAGAACAAGATGCATCAATCAGGGAAGAGATGTGGACAAACAGCTGAGACCAATTGTTGTCGCACTGTCAGTCACATGCTTGGGTGCTAACATACAAATATAGACTTATGAATTGCGCATACATGCAGTAAAAGTCCGCGCAGGGGGACATGGTATCCTTTCCAACCCTTACTTTTTTGGAGAAAACAACAAGAGGTTTGTAAACGCCAGGGAAATGCCATCCATCAACGCCAGGGAGAAAATCATTAATCATGATCGTCGTTTGCCAATGCGACCGGGTCCGGCTGTCTGGCCCTTGAAGGGCTTGAGGGCGCCTTTGCCTCGCGAGGTGGGAAAGGAGACCTTGTTGGAGGGCTTGCGACGAAGCTGTTTACGGGTCTGGCTCTTGTCCTTGGACTTGTTGGAGGAGCTCTTTGTGGAGGTGGAGGTGGTGGCAGCGGGGGCGCCGTCGACGTCCATGTCTACATCAGGATGGAGTTAGCCCTTGATTCTTACCCGACCAATGTGGAGGGAGTGGGTCAAAGGCAAACTCGAGGTGGCCGTCTGTGGTGAAGCCAACAACATCGGAACATAAGCCCAGGTGGAAGCACAGATTCCTGAGGTCACAGTCGTCCTGTGCTGCGTCGAGGGGCTTTGGGGAGGGGTCGGACAGGGAGCGTGGTATGGGAGCAGTGAGAAAAGACGAACCTTTGGGCAAGTCGTCCTCGTTGGCGGCGGTGGTGGTCTCGGCTGCGGTGTTGGCTGGGCTCATGTTAGCAGACGGGCATGCGCGAGAGGATGCGACCAGCTTACTGTCTTCAGCAGTGTCCATCTGGTTACTTTCTGGCTTGGGTTGCTGGACTGTCTCGAGAAGTTTGGCATGCAGGCGTTCCATGCGCGCCTGCTCGACAGGGCCGAATACTCTGGCGCGCAGCTTTGTGCGGTTTGCCTTTTTGCTGCTTGCGCGGAGACCCTTTGCCATTTTGTGTGTGTGTGTGCTTGTGTATGGGGAGAGAATATGGGTGTATGTTGGAGAATGTGAGTATGTCGCTCGGCGGGCGGGTCGTTGGGTGGGGAAAATGCAAAAGCTGGGAATAATAATTTTAGTGGCGAGGCACCACCAGGGCCAGGGCCAGGGCCAAACCCACGCCGGCCCGTGCTCGGGTCGCGTTCTTCGCCGAGTGACGCTGACTGCCTTGGGGCACACACGCTGGCAGCACTTGGGACATGGGCCCGCCGCCAGACCCGCCGCCATCGTCGACGACGGCCACTTGAGATACACAGCGAGGCGCCAGATTACTGCTCGTCTGCCTGCACTGTACTGTACTACACGGCACTGAATCGCCCGCCGACCGAGTCTGGCAGTAGAGAAGTTGCGACCAGCACCCGCCCGGCCAACTGCCTCGACGGCCCTTCACTTCACCACCGTCTTCCTCTCACCCTCGCCCGCCCCAGGACTCGAGACCTCCTCGCTCATATAGCCCCCGATATGCCTTCGCCATATCCGTAGCATTTCACCCTCACATCTCCAAACCCGCCTGGCCCTGTCCATCGCGACACCAAAACCCATCCGCTCGTCCTCGCATACCCACACGCACACCCAGTATGGAGGCGACGCTGCAGCACACGGCTGCTACCATCACAGAGCGTTCAAAGAGGCTCATCAACAATGACCTCAAGAAAATCCTGAAAGAGGAGGGCAAGGCCCAGACGGGCAACAAGGCTGCCCTCCAGGCTCGCGTCATTGATTGTACGTACATGTTATGGGCGCCGCCTCGATACTTTTCACCACTCGTCCTGCTAACCATCACGTTCACCAGTAATCACCGATGCCGTCTCTAGAAGAGACCATGAGCAATTGCGCCGCCTACACCATCGCGTGCAGCATCACGGTGAAGCGCCGCCCCCAACAGCAACCAGCCCGGCTGCTCCTACATATTCGCAACCGCCCCCGCCCCTTGCGAACGGCTACGCCATGTCCAACGGATACCAGTCCAACGACGCGCGCCAACCGCACCAGCACCACCAGCCAGCATTGCCCTCTCGTACGTTGGCCCCCGTTGCGCTCGTGTGCCTAGCCGTAGTAGTACTGATGACGACAGTAGGTCCCACGTACTTTTTCAAAGACAGCCCCTTCTTTGAGATACGCGAGCTTGTGCTCACAAACATGTCGCTAGAAGGTATGTTTGCCTTTCTCGCCGCTACCTGCCCTTCTAAGCTAACTATATGCGAGCTTCTCCAACTCACAGAGCCACGCTCTCAAAGAGCCTTACCCTGAATGAGGCTCAGACAGGGCGCTTAAATTCCGACCCATCCCTGCGACTGCTGCTCTTCTCTGCGCTTGAGCAGCCGCTGGCTCCTTACTCGCGTCTCGACATTGCATTTCCTTCTCAGATCGAAGTCAAGGTCAATGATGCAGAGGTCAAGGCAAACTATAAGGGCCTCAAAAATAAGCCAGGCTCGACGCGTCCGGCTGATATTACCGACTTTGTCCGCACAAAAGTCGCCAATCAGCGCAACAGCCTCCTCATCACTTATGCCCTGACCCAGAAGGCAAGTCAACCAGAGGTTTCTTTCCACTCAACTCACCTGAAATGTGACTCCAAGCTAACAGTCTTTTGTAGAAATATAACCTATTTGTTTACTTGGTGCGGAAATTCTCAGTCGAAGAATTGACCCAGCGTATCAAGCGTCGCAATGTCATTACCAGGGGATCCGTGTTAGAGGAGAGTAAGGCGCCCCCTTTGCGCAACCGACACCAAGCTCAACTAACCCGTCAATAGTGATGAAGAAGGCCAATGACCCAGATATCGAAGTGGGATCGAGCGTCATGTCACTCAAGGATCCAATTTCCACTCTGCGAATCGTCACTCCCTGCAGATCTACAGTCTGCACACACAACCAATGCTTCGATGCCGACTCTTTTCTACAGCTCCAGGAGCAAGCGCCCACATGGACCTGCCCAATATGCAACAAGACCATATCATTCGAGGCACTTGCTGTTGATGAATACGTTCAGGACATTTTGAGCAAAGCCCGCAACACGGACCAGGTCACTATCCAGCCAAATGGCGAGTGGTCGACCGAGAAGGACCTAAAACCCAAGCACAACAACCATGACGACGATAGTGACGATGACCTCGTTGA